CCAGCCCTAACTATAAACCTGAACCAGCCCTAACTATAAACCTGAACCAGCCCTAACTATAAACCTGAACCAGCCCTAACTATGAACCTGAGCCAGCCCTAACTATAAACCTGAACCAGCCCTAACTATGAACCTGTTTCTAACTCCTCTGTTCCAGTTATCACGTACACCACCAAAGGTACAGTTTGTTTTTCTGCAGTGTTGAGGTGCCGTTCTAGCTGGTGACCTTTTTTCCCGCCCTGAAGCGTCCACTTGTGACTTCGAATAAATAGTCTTTTTCTCGTGTTTGTAATTAGAGAGAGAGACCCTCCCCATACCGCTATTTGTGATCACATATACTGTGTTGATATGGTGTGTTTTCAGTTATAGTTTTCTGTAATGTGAAATTTTATCACGGCTCAAAAATACTGCCTTAAGATCAACTATATTGACATTTAAAATGAGTGATCACAGAGAAAGTTAGACCCCCAGATACGGTCTAGGCTAGCAGATTCCCCCTGCTTCCAGTCTTTATGCTAAGCTAGGCCTGATGTCCATCTGAGACATCTTCAGGGACAAAGGAAGTGGATTGACCTGAATATGTACTGTTCCTTTAACGTCTCAGAGGTTGATTACTGACGGTAGTGTCTGTGCTCAACCTGTAGGTGGAGCTGAGTCAGGACGACCTGACGGTGCTGCTCAGGATCCTGATGGAGAATCTGGGAGAAGCCGGTAGTTTGGAGCCCACCGCCCCGAGACAGGAGGCTAGTCTGCAGCTCCGAACAGCCGGAGGCCCCAAAACAGGTCTCTCTATTAATAATCATATTCATATATGTAGAAACATTCTTGTTGATATTAGATTCACAGCTGACTGAATGCATCAAGATTAGTTTCTGTGTTTTTTATCTGTGTTTTCTGACTTCAGGTGATGTTGGAAAACCGGCTGTAAGCAGTGAGGAAGAGGAGGAGGAAGCTCTGGAGACCATGAAGTTTAACTTCAACATTGAGTCTCTTGGTCTTGTTCTGTACAGCAAAGACCCAAAACAGGTCAGTCGCCACATACAGACCCCTGGATTAGGTTCTCTTAGTGTTCTGGAAGGTTCTGTGTGTATTTCTTCCTAATGCACCAAGACGCCATCGAAGGCCGGTGGAAGACAAGCTAGGAGCTTTTGAACTTGTCTTTTATTTTGGACATTTTACCTTTTTAGTTGTTATGTTTCTGCTGCGTTTCATAATAACCTGTTATGTCCAACAGTCCTGGATAGAGTTGGCTGCCATCTACAAGTCCACCAATAACATTTGAATTGACTTGTAATGGCTTTTAATAACATTGTTGACACACGTGTCTTACTTGAAGAGGAAAGAAATGTCCAAACGTGTGTGCTCAATCTGGTGGAAATGAGTACAATTTTGAAGCCAGGGCTCGAGACTGTTGGATTAATATAATAGAATAAATGATTTTAAATTGAAATGGGATTAAAAATTGTAGTTTTAATGGGTTTACATGGGACATTTTTGTCCTCAAGAGTCTGAGTGTCTGTACTTTGGCTACACAGTTGATAATATACTTATTATAGGAGCTGATGTTCAACTTCCAAAATCCAACAAGAAACTTGCAGCCTTGCCAAGATCTATGACATTCATGCCGATATTCAATCTTACATTTCATTTAAGACTTTAAACTTTCTGTTCTACAAAATTGCCTCGACTCGATAAAAAGGTTAGATGGTAAATTATTTTCTACAGCTAATAGCTGGTTCGGGATCAGCTGTTCCAGGATCAGCGCTCTGATTGTTTGGATCTCGTGGTCTGATTGTTGTTCCTGTTCCTTGCAGCCATCAGACCTCCAGCGCCAGCAGAACCTCAGACTGGGCGAGTTCGCCCTCCACCTGCTGAAGACTTCGGGGAAGATCCTGACCAACGGCAGCATGGAGGTGACCACCATCCTCAGCGCCTGCACGCTGGACGACCTGAGGACCGGCATGCAGAGGGTGACCTCACGGTAACGGTCACATGACCTCTGGTTTCTGTCTGCCTGTGTGCCATCAAAACTGTTTAGATGGACACTGACTAATTCAGAGTTACCCCCATGTTAGAAGAAGGAAAAGAACAACTCCTTCGTGCCTCATTCTCTGATCCCTCTGTGGTAACTCACCTTAACTCTACCTCTTGTGTTTTTGTTTTTCCCTCGTGGCTGCAGGATGGTCGGTCGGAGAGACGAGGAGAGCCCCGAGGCGATGATCGACGTGACGTATCGACAGAGCGCTGGAGAACGGGAGGTGGTGGCCGTCCTGCAGAAACTTTACCTGTGTGCCAGCGTGGAGTTTCTGATGGCCGTCGCAGATTTCTTCTTGCAGGCTCTGCCACAGACTTCGGCTCTGACCGCCGCATCTGCACCGAGCGACAGACTGCCGCTGAGACAGACTGCTGAGCCACGAGCAGACTCCAAGACTGGTACGACCAAGAGACCTTCAAAGTTTGAAACCGCTTCTGTAAAATATAGTAAATGTTTCAGGTAAAAGTTAAACACAAACACAACCTTTAGTTTAACTAACTGGCTACAACAGACGTAGAGTTGTGAGTCATCTGCGTAGCAGCAGATACCAGAAAGCAGCATGTACAAACAGAAACAGAGCAGTCTGATACGATACTCCAGCCTCTCAACAAGGAGATCACAAACCACTGTATTGAATGCAGTCGACAACTACCAGAATATATTTTTTCAGGTATCCAAATTATCAATTTTATTAATCATAACAATAAATGAAAAAGAAAATAACTGCAGAAATGAAAACCTTGTTATAATCTAAAGTCTGCTCGTCTTCTCTGCAGCCTCGCTGGTCCGGACTCGTCTACGGGCGGTGGTGGTGGACCCGGAGGTGGTGTTCGTGGCGAACCTGATGAAGGCAGACGCCCCCGCCCTCATGGCCTCGTTTCAGTGCGACTTCAGCCTGCAGGCCGAGGAGGACGGTACCCAGAACACGAGAGCCAACCTGAGGGAGCTGAAGGTCCTCGCGTGCCGCTTCATCCGAAACAAGGAGGACAAAGCCGTTACCACCGTAAGATCACAGGAGCACACGTGGGGTCACAGCAGGTCATATGTTAAAGGGTAACTTCGGTATTTTTCAACCTGGACCTCGTCTGTTTAGCGGCTGCCATCTGCAGCGTTCTCCCTCACTACCTGACCAATTACAGGTTACGAAAACTTTGTGTATTTTTCTTCTTATCATCATGAAACCTCACATTTAGACCAAAACCACTAACATGTTAGTTCATCTCTCAATACTGTCTACAGACTTCCTGTTTGTGGCTCGGAGCTCGGAGCCCATTGGCATGATATTAACAGGGCTGGCGATTGTTTCAAGATGGCTATAAATACTTAAAAAGTAGTGCATCATTACACCAAGGCGCTCTCTATTTAAAACATAACGAATGAATAACAAAATATATTAAAAAGAATTTCAACATTTTATCTCGGCCTTCATTTTAATCTCAACTACTCACCTGTAAAGTTCCGTGACTGCATCTTGCACCGTTGTGACGCTATCGTGGAGACAAACTCTGTCCACAGACAGAAATAGATCCGTGTTTTGCCACGATGACTCACAAACAGACTCAAGAGGTGATGATGTAGCAGCTGGTTATGACGGAGGTCACCATATTCTTCCTTAATTCATTCAAGTTTTTATGAATAGCATGCAAAAATATCTTGTATTGATATTAGCTTTTATGTTATCGTTTACTGCGTTTAAATTCTGGCCCTGACTGTATGGACAGGGAAATAGCTCCTCTTCAGCTGAAACCTGAAAAGCGACTCACTACTCTGACTCCGTCCAATAGGTGTTGAGACCCTGCTCTGTCGCCTTGGAGACCAAAACCCACCCAAATCAACCACTGAGCGGCTTTGTGACGGTGGAGGAAGTCATCGTCAAGGTACATTGATTCATCAGACATATGATTCATCAGATATTATTCTTAAATGTCTTCAACTATAAAACACAACAATCAAACAAATCAATCAATCAAAGTAAAGTTAGGACAAGTAATGTGTAGACGTACTTAAAAGTTTTTCTCGTATCAGATAGTCTAGCAACTCGGTGAACTCTTGGTCTTTGTCCTGCAGATCTCTCCGTTCATCCTCAACACGGTGCAGACAATAACGGCCGCCATGACGGCCAAGCAGAGTGACGAGCAGAGTCTGGAGTCGAAGGCGGACTTCAGTGACCTCTGGTCGGTCATGAACGTCTACGGCTGTAACTACTGGTTCCTGGGGGTGGACCAGGCCACCGAGGTCACCGAGAGCTTCAGAGAGCAGGACGGGCTACAAGAGGGCGAGAGCTTTACTGCGGAAGTCAAGGTACGACATTTCAGCTCCAAGACTATTTTATTCTGAAACATTACGAGATCAGATGTGTTTCCTGTTGACGAGGTATTGTCGCCCTGGCAGGTGGTCCAGGTGACTCTGGAGTCCGGTTTGGGTCATCGGACTGTCCCTCTGCTGCTGGCCGAGTCCTCCTTCAATGGATCGGCCAGAAACTGGTCATCTCTGCTGCAGCTCAGTGCAGACATGACCCTGGAGGTGAGAACTGATCCTTTATACCAGAACCTGGACCTGTCCTTCACAACTGGACCTTAACCTGTCCTTCACACCTGGACCTGTTCTTCACTGTATCTTTTCGTTTTTAAGAACTTGGTATTTGGCACTTGATATTTCCATAACTTTATGATATAAAAGGCTGTAGATGTAGAAGGAGAAACACCTGAGACTCACTTTCTTTCACACTTTTTTTAAACTTTAAACCTTTTCGTAATAGTTATTTATTTATTTATTGTGATGTTTCTGATACTGAAGTCAAAGGATAGATCGAGTTCCTGCAGCTGCTGACTGGAAGAACAAATATGTACAACATTAGGATGTTTCATTGTGTATGACGTAATATGTTGACACCTGTCGTGTGTCTGCAGGTGAACTATTTTAATGAGGTCCATGCAGTGTGGGAGCCTCTGATCGAACGAGTCGACAGCGGCAGACGCAGATGGAACCTGGAGCTTGAGGTAAATTCTGTCAGTATTAACAGAAATTCATAGAAACAGAATCATTTTGATTCCTCCCCCAAAATAAACCATCTTTGTGGTCGGCTCTGGCCATGTCGGAGTTACCTGTTTGTCATTCTGCAGTAGTAAAGAATATTTTGGGGATTTCAGGGACATTGCCTTCTCTGTACACTCTTAGAAATAAAGGTGCTAACTAGAACTCTAGGTGGGACCTTTCATAAATGTCTCACCTGGAGTCCTTTCAGAGGGTTTTAACTAGAACCCAACATACAGGATCAGAACCCCCTATGAGAGGTTCTTCAGAGAACTAGTCTATGTTGTAACTGCTCCACCCAGTACCCTTTCTGGAAGTTCTATAAAGAACCCTTCTACCTGTTTAAAGGGTGCTGACAGAACCCATCCAGGGGGTTCTACTGACAACCCTTTTATATTCCGAGGCTTTTTACTAGAACCCTAAAGTCCTGATTTGATGCAGCTCAACCCACAAACGTTCTGGTTAATAGTCACAGCTTTTGGGGTTGTTCCCTTTTACCACCAATGCTTTTTAACGGTCCTTGAAGAACTCGTCCTTCTAGAGCGGGGGTCTCTCAATGAAAAAGGGCTCTTAATGGAACCATTAGTCTTACAAAGAGCTAAAATGTGTTCTTCAGATGCAAACGGTTCTTGGTAGAACCTCAGCCCTTGAGGAAGAACCCATTTGGAACCTTTATTTCTAAGAAATGCAGAGCCTCCCATAAGGTTGGTTAGGGTTAGAGGTTGGTCGCACTGACAAACCAACTATCCAAGGTGGGTTCTGCCTCTTTACGATTGTATCACATTAGTGTGAATAGACAGGAGGACGAAAGCGTTGATGAACAATCACCTTTCATTGTTTTGTTTGTTTGCTGCAGATGAAGAACAACCCGGTCCAGGACAAGAGTCCCGTTCACGGAGATGACTTCGTCATTCTGCCCGAACCTCGCACGGCCATCAACATCTGCTCCAAAGACACCATGAACATCACTGTCTCCCAGTGCAGCCTCAACGTCTTCTACAACCTCGCCAAGGTACAACAGATAAAAACCTTTCCGTGAACCATTTCTTTAATTCCATGAATAGCAGCAGTTATGGATAAACATTACTAACGTGTTGTTGCTGTGTTTTTTAATCAGGCGTTCTCTGAGGCCACAGCCTCCACCTTTGACTACTCTCTGAAGGAGAAGGCGCCCTTCACCATCAGGAACTCTCTTGGGATTCCTCTCATCGTGCAGCACACCGCTAACCTGAGGCCGGTGGGTTCACCGGCACAGGGAAAGCTACACGAGCTGTCGGTGGATCAGAGCATGGACCTGGAGCACTCCAGGTTCAAATCGTCGTCACGTGGCAAACTGTCGGCTCTGCAGCATCAAGAGAGCTGCCTGTTCAACCTCACCATCGGTCAGAACACCTCACTGTCACTGCAATCTCTTTCTCTGGTTCCAACATTCATTTCTGCCTGCTACATGTATGAGTGGATGGGAATACGAAGGGCAATGCCCTGGTTGTCATTCACATTCTTGCTTAGCAAAATGTTGTAACATCATCTGCTGCATCATCGCGCTTCAGGTAGTGGCGCTAAAAGTAGAGCTTTCAAAGTCCTGTGTTCGTGCACAACTTCATTATCATATGTATTGTTTGGTTGGTAGCAGGCTTCATGCTAGCACTTTAGCATACACCGTCGGTAGATAATAGACACATACTGTACCATCCATTAGCCAATGTGATCACTGGCAGTTCTAGTTGTTTGGCGCTTTAATCCCCGACTCCTTCTGTCCACATGTCGAAGTGTTTTTTGGGGCGAGACTCTGAAACTCAAAGTGCTCGTGATGATTGGCCAGCATGGCAGTCTGCCTGCGAACGGGGGGGGGGGGGGCTGAAGGTTGTAAAACTAATAATGTGTGACTCAAGGTTGGATGATGTGTCTCTGAACCCGCAGTTCCCTCCGGATACAGCGAGATCTCCAACATCGCTGTGGACAAACCGGGTCGTCGTCTCTACAACATCCGTGGTCCGATGCTGCAGGAGGCGGTTGCTGTTCTGCTGCAGATAGACGCCGCCGAGGGCAACAAGGTCATCACTGTCCGCTCGCCGCTGCAGGTCTGAATCGCACAACGTTGGGAAAACTTCACCGCAGTCTGAAACTCGTTGAAGATCGGCATTAATGTTTTTTGTTTTCAGATAAAGAATCACTTCTCGGTGCCGTTCACCATCCTGAAGTACTGTCCGACATCCAGGAGCCTGCAGAGCGTCGGGCAGGCCGAACCTGAGAGGGAGTTCCACATCGCCCTGGAAACATACAGGTAGCGTCACATTGCCTTGCTGAGGGGCTCGAGGGAACACACAGAGTTCTCAGCATGCAGCGTCTCTTATTTAAAACAGCGCTTGTTGTTTGTTTCTGTTCGATATTCATCTGAACTTCCAGTTAGTTCTTTTAAAAGATGAGAGAATTAAAGGAAAAGCTCCGATCTTTAAAGCTTGGAGACCCGTTTTTGTCTTATTCGGGGACTGAAAGCTAAGAACCTGAAGATTAGTTTCATTAATGAATTAACTGTGAAAGTCTAAAAGGGCTTAGAACATTATGATAGAAGTATATGATGGCCTTTGTATTTCATTAATTTCATTTGACTCATAAGCTGTTGCAGCAATTTTTGGGGTTGATATCATTTGTTACACATATTTGGTGCTAAATATAATCATGTTTTTCCACTCAAGAATCAACGAAAATGATAAAGAATCCCTCCAAAATACCCCATTAAGACTAAGAGCTTAAAGGAAGACCACAGCTAAAGTCATGGAGTGATTTGGTATAAAAAGACTTGGAGATTACTGTGAGAATTATTGACGATTGGATGGCAAGCACTTCTGTTCTGGAAATGTGCTGCCGTTGTTTTTTTCCTCCTCCAAGGGTTTTATTTTCTCTTCTCTTCACGGTTGTTCAGATGTGGTGAAAACACAAACAGGGAATGTTCAAAATCGACTTTTAGCTCCTCAAATGTTTTGGTTTTTATTCAGGAAGATTCACTTATATATACTTCTGCTTGTCAGCAGAGGTTTTGGTGCCGGTCTCTGTGGTTTTTGTAGGTGTTCAAGAGATGTTGACAGTGTAGTTTTATGCACCTCCTTCCCCTCCAGATGTCAGCTGTTTGTGCGTCCAGCGGGTTGTCTGGACGCTCGGTACGGTCCGTCAACCACCTGCGTGTCGTGGAAGGAGCAGGTGCACCGCAGCTCGGAGGTACGTTCGGTGCTGCAGTGTCCGGCGACCGACAGCGGCCTGCTGCCGCTGATGGTCAGCACGCTGGCCGTCCCCGACGACCTGCGACACATCACCAGCCACGGGGAGGAGGACTGGGACCCGGCCTACATCATCCACCTCCACCCGGTGGCCACGCTGCGCAACCTGCTGCCCTACACCGTCCGGTACATGATGGAGGTACGGCAGCTCCCACGGAGTCAGAAACATAGACGCAAGGATCTAGATTTTATCAGGGCCATGTCGATTAGGATTGGACCAGTTTGGACCCACAAACATGTATCTAATTCAGTCATCTAATCTAATGTGGTCTGATGTGGTCTCTCCTCCTCAGAGCTCAGCAGACTCCTATGAGCTTCAGGAAGGCAGCACGTCGGACCTCCTGAACGCTCGCGTCTTGGGGGAGATCATGTCGTTGGTGCTGATGAGGTATCAGGGCCGTGACTGGCACGGCCACCTGCCAATCGAGCAGGAAATGCCCGAGTTCTTGGCCACGTGTCTTGTCTGCGACTCGGACCCCAACGCAACGGTGGACGTGAGCGTTCACGTGACGAGGACAGCGAGCCGCCTTGTGCTGTCGCTCTTCAGCCCGTACTGGATCATCAACAAGACGTCTCGAGTGCTGCAGTACCGAGCCGAGGACGTCAGCGTCAAGCACCCCGCAGACTACCGCGACATCATCCTGTTCTCCTTCAGGAAGAAGAACCTCTTCAGCAAGAGCAAGGTGAGGATGACGGAGTCCCAGCATGGAGCCTGAGGAGGTCTAGATATATGAGGATGACAGTCATCAGTTTAAACACTTTCCTGCTCTCCAGAACGCTTTAGATTTTAACATTCCTAGGACCTTTCCTCTAGCGACACCTGCAGGACAAACTCAATTTATTTTCTTTATCTACATTTACCATGTTGTGTCCGACAAAAAAATTTGCTTAATTTATTTCTGTTGACGCTAAACTGAATAAGACAAAATCCAGGTGAGACCCTCACCACATTCTCAGGTGTTTTTAATTTAAATCTTTTGGGTCAGGTCTTAAATGTTGTGTTGTTGTTGTTTCTTTTATGAGAAATATTGTTCTTCCCAAATTCACATGTTGTGCATCTGATTTCTTGTTTTTCACCTGAAGACTAAAACCAAACCCGGCCACATGTCATGGTGGGGAAAATGATTTTGATAACAGTGAGGTTAACTTGCTGTTGTTGTTTTGTTGCAGCTCCAGCTGTGCGTCTCCACCAGCTCCTGGTCGGACGGTTTCTCTCTGGACACGGTGGGAAGTTACGGCTGCGTTCGCTGTCCCGCCAACAACATGGACTTCCTGGTAACTAAAAAAAGCCTCGATCAGCGTCTCAGATTTGAGTCATTTTGTGCAACTTAACTAACAGCCGTTTGTTTTTAGCTCCTGATGTAGAGACGTGTTTGGAAATTAGATTAGATTCAGATTAGAACCAGATTAGTCAAATCAGATTAAACAATCCCAACTCAAGGTTCACTTACTCACTTGTTATGGAGCTTTTGACCATTTCGCACAGTCTTCATCTGCAGGTTGTTGGTCGTGCTCAGAATAAACACCAGAGTAGACCAGAGTAGAAGAGGCCAAGAGGAAGATGATTTAGAGTTTGAACAATGAGCTGATTAGTCGGTTGTTTAATAGTTTGTCATTTTTGACACAAAAATGACAAACGTGTATATTTTCTGGTTTTATTCTTCTTTGACATTAAACTCAATTTATTTGAGGTTTTGGACTGTCGGTCCAGTTTAACAAGACATTTAGTGTTTATAAATCAAGTTGGGTTTGAATGTGTTTTTCACTATTTGTTTACCGTTCACTGTTTGTTTTTTGGACCAAACTGATAATTGATTAATTGATAAAGTTCACAAGAATGAATCAAAAACAGCTTGGATTAATAAAAGCGGCTCTAGTTTGACTCCTTCACTCGTCTACCTCAGTATTTGCTTTGTACTTTGTGTGTCCAGGTGGGCGTTAGCATCCAGATGAGCAGCTTCAACATCACCAGGATCGTCACCATGAGTCCGTTCCACACTCTGGTCAACAAGTCGTCGTACGAGCTGGAGGTGGGAGAAGTCACCAGCCAGACCTCCACCAGATGGCACTACATCTCCTCCACCGAGGTTTGTGACCCGTAGACGGTCGGCATCAGGCCGGCAGGGAGTTGTTGTTGTGTGGTTGTAATTCTGTTGTTGTTGTTGTTGTTATGTTGTAGTGCCTCCCTCTGTGGCCGGAGAACAGCTCGGGGAAGTTGTGCGTCCGTGTGGTCGGATCTGAATCCACCTCCAAGTTCTTCTTCTTTAACCGGCAGGACAACGGCACCCTGCTGAGCCTCGACGTGGTCGGTGTCTGGACCAATCACATCGGCTGATTTTACTCTGAGAGCGTCGTGCATTTTCAGGGTTTTTTATGCTTGTGTGTGTGTGTGTGTGTGTGTGTGTGTGTGTGTGTGTGTGTGTGTGTGTTTTCAGTGCGGTGGGATCATTGTAGACGTCAACATCTCTGATCTCTCCACCATCATCAGCTTCAATGATTACTACGAAGGAGCAGCTCCAGCCCTGCTGCTCAACCACACACCCTGGGTCACCATCAGCTACAGGCAGAGGTCAGAGGTCAACAACATTGAGCCAACATTAAGTCCGTTTAATCGAACACAACCTGCCAAAGGTGGCCCCTCCTTTCCCTGCTCAACGACAACAGAAGCCCCGCCCCCCTGACCGTGTTATGGTTCGGGTGCATTGAAAGCCAACCCCATATTATTCTCTCTCATTTTAGAACGTGCTTCGTCCGCTTAACGATTCCCCTCGCTATATTTGATTTTTTTTTTAAGGCTGCCTTCAAAATATTGAGCAACAAGCACTGATTCACATCTTGCTTAAATTGGCTTATAACTTCTTCTTTTTTGACAGTTTAATGAAGTCTAACTTCTCTCTTTCTCTTTTTTTCAGCGGCTCAGCGATGGTTCACGAGCTGAAACCCGGCGAGGCTCGACGGTTTGCGTGGGACGACCCAGCGGGCCTCCGGACGCTCATTTGGAGCTGCATGGAAAATTCTGGAGAGCTGGACCTGCTGAAGGTCTGAAACTATGGGGTTAATTCTGTTGTTTTTTTAAAACGCAAAGAAATGTAGGTTAGCAAACCATACAACAAAAACTACTATCCCTTCCAGAAATAGGAGAAATGGGATGGTCATGTTGCTCTGTCTGCTGTTTGATACCATTAGCATCAAAAAATGTATCCATTAACATGTCCAGTATGAAGGTTCATTCTTGATCTTGGAGTCTCTTTGACAAAAATTCATCTTATTTATGATTTTGTGGAACTTTGAACCTTTCTGCATGACAGTGAAAAGTCATTATCCAATGAGAAAGATGGTTGAAAGTTTGTAAAAAGCTATTTTTTTTTGTTTTCTTATGTCAGATGTTGTGTTTGCAGCTTGTACAGAAACTACAGGTTTTGATGTACACAATGTACACACTGCAATACCAGTTATAACCAGTTAAAAACACCTCATGGTAAAAGCAGTATTTCTATATGTGTTATATGGATTTTTTTTTACGGGAGCTACCAGTCAAATCAGTCACTAAACTCATTTGCATGGTTTATGTGGACACGATTTTTGGAGACCAGAATTTGGGTCCTCACAAACGGGGCTTCTGTTCAAAGTTCAAAGTTCAAAGTTTGCTTTATTGTCAATTCCACAATATACTGGACATACAGGGGAGTTGAAAAGACGTTTCTCTCTAGTCCAACATATAAACATATAAACATATAAAGTGAATACAGTGCAATAGATTAAAAAAACATTTAGACAATATATATATATATATAATAAGAGAAAAAAAACAAAAACAGATGTGAATCAGTGGTGTTAGATCCCCACAACGATAGTAAATCAAGCTTGAGTGTGTCTGGTCTTTTTGCTGCAGGACGATGTAGGTCAGTTCTCCTACGACAGCATGTCTCAGGTACACTGGGTTTCCTTCTTGGATGGACGCCAGCGGGTGCTGCTGTTCACCGAGGACGTCGGCGTGGTGACGAAGGCTCGGCAGGCCGAGGAGCTCGAGCAGTTCCAACAGGAAGTGAAGCTGTCGCTGCAAAACCTCGGACTGTCGCTGATCAACAACGCCAACCGGCAGGAGATCGCTTACGTCGGCATCACCAGGTAAACGCATCACCAGAGGGGACCGGGTCAGATATTAAGTTGAGCCCTAAAGTCACAAAGGTGGTTTTCTTTTGACCTGTTTCAGTCTTGTATTACTTATCGCTGAAACGTTTACTTGTATATGAAACACGGTATATAAATATATATTTACCTTACCGTCCACAGCTCAGGTGTGGTTTGGGAGATGAAGCCAAAGAACCGCTGGAAGCCATTCAGTCAGAAGAACATCAACCTGCTGGAGAAAACCTACCAGAGTCATCTGAGCGGGAAGACGGAGGTGGGCTGGGTCAAACTGGAGACCAACCTGGAGGTCAGAGGTCAACACACAGACTCAGTATAAACACTCATAGACTAAATATAAACTTAGGGTCTTTCTCATTTACCGATGTTGTGCCTCCTCGATTCCTTTCCTCACACCAACATGTCGCCTCAGAAGTTAATCGTCTAAAACATGAGAGTTAGATTTCCAGTCGTTTGTCCAATGAGCTGAGTGAGAGCGTGTGATGTCACCGGTCCTCAGGTCAACCTAAACGCAGCCGTCATGATGATGCGTCAGCCGTGTTCCTGCCCCGTTAGGAGGAACTTCCTGTCTGGGATCCAGGTGGAGTTCAAACAGTCGCCGCACCAGCGCAGCCTGAGAGCCCAGCTGCACTGGCTGCAGGTAAACACACACACACACACACACACACACACACACTCGGGTGATGTCATGACTGGCATGGGTTCTGTCTGCAGGTGGATAACCAGCTGCCGGGTGCCATCTTCCCCATCGTCTTCCATCCTGTTCCTCCTCCAAAATCCATCGCCTTGGACTCAGGTTAGTTTTCCTCCATCTTTGAAACATTCACCTGTCAAGGTTCCATCTTTTCTCTATTTCGTTTCCTCACAAACCAAAACCGACCTGCTCAACTCACCTTAAAGTTTCCTTAGAGATGAAGAATGAAAACGTGTCATAAAGACGAGTTTAGAATAATTGTGGGAGATGTTAACGTGTGATTGAGTTGGATCTTTAACTCTGAGCTCCGCCTCCACAGAGCCGAAGCCGTTCATCGACGTGTCCATCATCACCAGGTTCAACGAGCACAGCAGCGTCATGCAGTTCAAGTGAGTAACAACCACTGTTAGCCTTTCACCTGAACGTTTAGAACAGTGGTCCCCAAACTAAGGCCCGCGGGCCGGA